ATGGGTGGGATAATGCGAAATCAAGTGTCAATTCCCTGAACACAGTAATACTGTAGCTTCGGGTTTCGTAAAATGGGGACAAGATTTTGGAGTTTAGTTGGGGCTTCACTTTCAGTATGGCGCTTGGCTAGAAACAGAAGTTTAGTTTCTTCTCTCATTTAACTTTTCGTGAATCTTTATCATGTGTATGGAGATTCTGTAAGGAGCAATGTAAAATGTTGAGTGGACAGTGACATTTCATTATCTAAGTTTAACATCCAGTGAGACCTAAATTTTATTAGCTACTGAGTGTGAATGTATCCTGATCTCTTCACACTCACTGTCATTCACATTTCGTACATATTTTATTTCCTAGCTTTTGTCATGGGGGGGGGGGGGGGGGGGAGGTGACAGAGCAGAGATATAAACTTAAATAACAAAATATATAAGTTTAATATCACTAATATTTACTCTGTTTATGGTGTTCTTTTGGATTCTGGCGCCGTGTGGACTGACTGGTGGAAGTCAACATGACCACTTCAGCCATTGGCTTCTATCGGCCAGTCCACACGGCGCCAGAACCCAAAAGAACACCACCAACAAAGTCACCGCCGTGGAAACCACAAATCTCTTGCACCACGAAGAATGTAGCTCAATTTTATTGCGGGGTTCGGAAGTTGTTTTAACGTACGTTAATTTGTTCGTTATATTTTCTCACTTTTATTTTTGGCAGCTAACAGGAAAACAGCTAGTTCCAAGAGAATGTGCTGGCTTTGCCCTCTCCACTGAGGCTAAACCCAATAAGTCATCGTTGTTCGATTCTTATGCCCGTCCAAAAACACCACTTCTGTTCCTAACACCACCTTCCATATAGAGAACACCATCACTGACAAGCCATACCAGAAAGCCTATGTAAGGCCTTCTGTTATGGGCCCATATAACCAAGGTTATTTTTACGAAGTTTTCAGAGCCCGACGCGATAGAAAATTGAATTGATGTTGTAACGCTACCCACACCGTGACTAGCCAACCTTCCCCCCCCCCCCCCCCCCCCCCCCACATGCTTTGGGCTTTCGTCTCCTCGCCCTCATCCTATTATCCCCCTTACAGGCCCACTGTACCGTAGTTCAGATATGGGCAATTGTGGTTGTTGGAATTGTTCTAAACAACCCCCTCCACCTTGGATATGGCTGTTTAAGGCGGTATTGGCTCAGAGAATATCAGAAAATATAGCGATGCGCCTATTTGTGCGTGTGGGTTGTAGAGAAGACTGTTTTGGAAATTGGAACTACTACACAAGAATAACGGAAATATACCTTTTAAACCGGCTCTATAACCAGCTAAAAATGTAATTTTCCCTTTATATATCTTAACTTGTAGGACTGGTAACGATTTTCAACAAAATCGCGAGTTGCAGAAATTTGGCTTGAAATTTCTTGCATGTAGTAGTACCGACAAATCCACACAGGTATAAACAGAGTTCTCACTAAACCAGGAATCAAATACAGTTTATTACATATTTGTCCATACTGATATAATGTTTATGTTCCGAACAGCTTTGATTTCTGGGAATCAGAATGTCCTGGGTGTGAACGTAAATGTTCTTGTGCCTATGGCAACTCTGGAAACAACCTCGGTAAACGCTGGCCTGTTATTAGGCTATGATGATGATAACACTGATTAATTTTGGACATTGATTCTCAACCGGTGTGCCGCGAGACTTTGATTAGAAGAATTATAAAGTTACATTAAATTAAATAAACCAGCGTGGTCTGTCTGGCTGCCCGCGGGCCGAATCCGGCAGGCGAATGTAATGTGTTACTTTGTACTAGTTAGTACAACCAATTTATTAAAAATATTGTTGTAGGAGCAAATTTAAAATAATGTCTCTGTAGTAGTTTGTGCACATTGAAATGAAATTTATATTTCAGCATATGCAATGGTAATTTGTCATTTCTGAATAAGTATTATTAAAGACAACGACAATGGAAAATAGTGACATAGGGGTTTCTTGGCCCTGGGGTCCAACAGAATAACTATTCTGGCCCGAGCGAGGAAAAATGTTGGACCACCCCGAAATAAGCAAATTAAAGAATTAAATAATTGTTAGTATGGCATTAGTACCCGTAATTAAGGATATTTTAGAAATTAATTAAAGCGTAACAAAAACTATTACGTATTCGGAACTTGGAATCAGATGTTAGTGACAATTGTAGTAGCAGTTACTGTTGATGGCGGTGTTGCAACATTGGCTATGAAGGCATCTCCTTGCTTCAAATTAAGTCATACGGACTCCGTCTGCTGCAAACGTTAGTACAGTCCACGACTGTAATCTTGAGACTTCCGTGGTGAGGAAGTGGGGTGAAGGAGGAGGGGGGAAGATAGAGTCTGCCTTTAACGTTAAGGACTTCCTGCATTCCTTGCAAGTCTCAAGATTACAGTCGTGGACTGTAAATACGTTTGTGTACGTAAGGTTCAGTGTCTCTCAATTCTTACACATGTTGTGTTGACTGTAATGCTCTTCTGAGAAAAAATTACACAAATTTGCAAACCGGTGCACTTGCGTGAGCTTCTTAAATTGATTTTTGCATCAAAGCTTCATCGTGTTTGTGTTTTACAATTATTTTATGTAATAAATGACGTTACTTAAATTAGGTGCACCCTTAGTAGGAATGTTTGTTCTCTGTCCTATTCCCAGTGCGCCGCAGAAAACAAAAAGATCATTCTAAGTTTGCCACGAGTAAAAAAATGATGATAACTAGTTGTTTAGAAACAGTTGAGACATATGACACTTTTGACAGGGGTACAATTTTTCCAATCCTGGGCTCTATCTAGAACTAACTAAGCCCTTATCATTTTGCATGACAATTATTATGTTAAAACCTTTTTCTAATTTGAAGAAGCCCACATTTAATAACAGAGGTAGCATCTTCATAACGAACCTTGCACTCCATTTCCTTCCCACTGATAGGCCTGCTGTTACAGTTGATTTATAACAGCAATAATTTTGTCTTTCAAACAGTTGGACCCAAAGCGCTGTGCCTTAAAATGGGGCATGTCTTTCGTGAACTTTGTCTCTGGTGATGCAAAGAAAGCTCGGTGCCAGACAAGCCTGCCACTCCTTCGAATATCATTAGGCCTAATCTGCATTTAGGCAGTACTGATTCCTTTAGTTTGTTTTAAAACACGCGGTGTGTGATCAGTTTTGCGTCATAAGGATAGAACTTTGTTTTAAAAGTTCGTCTGCTTATACGGAATTTTTATCAGACGTCCCCACGTCGAATCCATATTGGTGTAAAATCAATCAAGGGTGGAACTTGGCTCCATGATCAGCATAAACTAGATATTTGGTGAATAAATGGCAAGTTTCCTAGCCCTTATTCTGGTTGTATCATTACCTAAAATTTAGTCTTCGCTTCTATCTCGGCTCGATTGAAACGGATTACTTATTTACATTATATTTTCGGTTTATTTATACAAAAATGATCGACTATGTGTCTCTAATAGACCTAGATTTTAAAGTGGAAGATTCATGTGTCTGGCGTTACTATGAATAAATTGTGGAGATGCATGGTAGACATATTGAATAAGAATTGATTATTATGAATGGTGAGTTGTAATGGATTTGGCGTGCACCCGAGGGACAGGAAATTCTCTTGAAACAACGACCTTACCAAAATTTCAACTAGCAGTTCGTAATATCTTTTTGGTTTGTATTTTTAAAATAAAAACTTTTATACTAATCTTTGTACCTGCTGGCTTACAAGGTAATTTACTTATTTCTTTGTGTGCACAGTTTTTGTGAATTTGTTTGGACATTTCATGTGCATATAGGCCTAGAACTGTGTCTGTGTTAAAACATTTGATTTCTCTTAAGATGTGTGCTGTGAGATCTTTCTGTCTGCAGAGACAACACCTCGAGTGGTGTCTGCAATGGCCGCTATGTATATATGCTTTAATTATCGATACGAGTATTTAGCATTCGAGTTATTTCTTTCGTGTGTAGGTTGTTATCTGAATTACAAAACTATTTGACTATTTCTGCGAAACTTAGGAGAAACAAATTAATTGTATGGGCTATCATAGAATGGGCAAGAATGAAGAAATGTTACAAAGGTCATAGTGAATGTGATAAACCAACCGCTGAATTTCTATTGTCTTCTGCAGTAAGGATATTTGGCGACTGTGCTGGTGGCCGAATTCCTTAGCTT